CAGCCGTGATGGACAAGGTTGGCCGAACACAATGCATGACGAGGTGGGCCGAGTAGGTCGGCGCAGCCCACTAGGAGTGGCCGACTTCATGGAAAAAAAACTTCTAAAGGATAAGGTAAGCTTCCTACTTTCTCTAGGGTTACCTAGCTGACCTAGTCTGCTATAAATATTAATGTAACTTCCTCAAAAAGGGGATCCGCAATTCCTGACACCGAAACTCTTGTATTCTTAAGCTTTGACGGAAACAGCAATAAGAATCATCTTCAATCTCTTGTTACGTGATTTGGCACTTGGAAGACTCAGTACTCCTTCAACTTTTGACAAATATTAACCGTGGTAGTTCTACCCTCCACAGTTTGGCACCGTCTAAGGGAATAGAGATCTTCTTACACAGAGGAATCACGTCACAAGCAACCAACAAGATGACCGACGGACGGATCGACAACACCGCCGACAGAAGCGTCGACAACACTAGCGATAGACGCATTGACAACATCGGTGACAGGCGCATCGACAACGTCGTTACCTTACCACATCGAATCCACCAAGGTGAATCCGCTCTCATCTCGTCGCCACCTAATCGGGTCGAATTCATCAAGGTGAATTGAACCTCACCTCATTGTTGCCATACCACGTCGAGTCCACCAACGTGAATCCGCTCTCACCTCGTCGTCGCTAACAACGTCGAGTCCACCGAGGTGAATTTAACCTCACTTCGTAGTCGATGTACCACGTCGACTCCACCGAGATGAATTTAACCTAACCTTGTCGCCGACTAACCGCGTCAGATTCGCCAAGGTGAATTTAACCTCACCTCGTCATTGTCTTACCACGTCGAGTCCACCAAGGTGAATCCGCTCTCATCTCGTCACCGCCTAATCGGGTCGAATTCATCAAGGTGAATTCAACCTCACCTCGTCGTCGCCATACCACGTCGAGTCCACCGAGGTGAATTCAACCTAACCTCATTACCGCCTAACCGCGTCGAATCTACCAAAGTGAATTCGCTCTCACCTCGTCGCCGCCTAACCGCGTCTAATTCGCCAAGGTGAATTCAACCTCACCTCGTTGTTGTCTTACCACGTCGAGTCCACCAAGGTGAATCCGCTCTCACTTCGTCGTCGCCTAACCGCGTCGAATTCGCCAAGGTGAATTCAACTTCATC